AGGGAAATAACTAGATTCATTTGGTTTCAGGGTATCTTTCAAATTTCAATTAAATTAGTCCTCCCACATCAAATTAATTTGAATTAGTTGTGTCATCAATCTCTCTCTTTCTTTCTCCTTATAATAAAAGCACATTGAGGTCATTGATGATGCCATGATCGAATGGAAATATTAAAACTTTTTTTTAATGGTTTTTTGAATCAAGAATCGGTCCATATTATACACTTGAAAATAAGTATATTTAAAAAAATGGAGTTATTATGAAAACGACCAATACGGTTTAGAAATTCTTGCTTGCCATTTTCTACATTACTAGATCGAATTTTCTCAACTACATAATATAAAATAATAATATACAACGAAATTGAGAACTTCTAAGTAATTGGGCTTTGATCATAGATCATTGGACCGAAACCATGATTGAATATCTAAAAAGATAAGATGTTTACAAACATATGAAACTGAAATTATAAAGCGATTATGAAATTATGGTCCAACCTAGAAACACTTGCAAAATATACTAACCCATACGGATTACTACAAATACAAGTTACTTAAACAACCTAAAAAGATCAAATTAAAAGCTCTTTGATCTCTGATTACACAAGCATTCATAATTTAAAACACAGAATTAAAAAGCCAAACAAAGGAACACAATAGTCATATATTATGAGCTAAAGGGTTCTTAAAATGCTTCTTCTAGTTGATCACTTGTATTCCAAGATCATGTTGTTTTCCGGAGCCAGCCCAACACATGCCCTGAGAATGTTCTCCAGCATCGCCCGCTGCTTCGAGAGAGCGTTAACGACAGGTGTTCCCGGCGGGACAAGTGGTGCCTTGGTGAGGTAGCTAAGTATGGTGGCCACAGGGTGGAAAGAATGAAACTTCCCCTGCCAAACAAAAAATACACGAATCAAAACATGAAAACCGCGGTTCAATCAAAATAACCGGTCTTGTGAACTCACGAACCTCTCCCTCGGATTTGAACTGGATCCTAGTGCTGAGCTCAGCGAGGAGAACAAGATCCAAGATAATTGGAGCAGCTAAGAGAGAGTCTTCACAAGTATTGTGCATCACAATTGTGTTCTTCCCTCCCATGAAAATCTCTGACGTATACTCGTCCATTGCTCGCTTGCTGTCCGCAACATAAGGTACATACTGCAGAACAAACACAC